GTTCTATTTTATTTTCGCAAAAGAGTGCTTTTTCTGGTTTGAGAGATGATATTCATGTGTCTAGCACAAAAACTTTCCATAGAAGTACTACAAAACGACCCTATTCACATGATGACCTATCCAGAAGTTTCATGATATTACCAAGTGAAGGCTCATCGAGTCGCCTTATTCTTACTTCCGGGTTTGACGCTTTAAACTAGACGTGGACAGAATCCTTATAATTCTTTAGGACACAGTGTTTAAATTATAGACAGGCTTCTGCAACGGAGTGGCTGGGTCCGAACTCGTAAAGAAGAACAGGTGGAATATGTGAAGGCAGCGGCCCGTTAATGGTTAAATGATCAAGGAAGGGGGGCAGATACTTCCCACATACGCACGTGGGTAAGGTTCTTATATGTGACTCCATGGAAACTGCCAAGGAGATTGAGGAGCCCAGTCCGATATTGAAATGCGCTGGTGCCAAAAGGAATCACACTACTCAGGGTATCTAAAATCCTCTTATGATGGCACTCCAACAAACATGGATTTCTGTAGAGGTTTAGGACAACTCACAGAAGGGTTCGACCCAAAAGGTTACGGCATAAATTACAGCAGGGTGGTAGCAACTTAACTAGATGGATTGCAGAAAAGGTGCGAGAGATAGGAAATCGTACGGAACCGACTCTGACCAGCGTGCTTTGTACTTGGTTGGACTCATGTTTCAAATTCAGGTTCTAGAGAAAGACGAGCAAATTCATGAACTGAGTAGTAAGCTGCGAGACGCGGAGCTAAAATGTCAACAGGTATACTTTACAGCACTGAGCTTGTGTGCCGTTCCGCCAGACTTGTTAAAGTAGTTAAAACCATCTATTTAGACTGAGGACCATTTATCGCGAACTTCCACTGATCTCGCTCTCGAGCGTGCTCGCTGTGACGAACTAACTCTTACGTTACATGAGAGCGAAGGTTTATTGTCACAAGTAAGTATGCCTTATTTCAAATATCTGGCTTTTACGATTGGGTTCTTTCAAACATTATCTGTTAAGACCAGAGCCGACTGTCTTTCATACGCATTGGAAAATCAACGGCTAATCGAAGAAGCAAGAGAAGCCAAACAACAACTTGTGTCGTATCGAGCAAAGCTGTGTGTTTCTCATAGCATTCCTTTTCGTTTTCGTTTTGAGCTAATAATTAGGGACAGACATGGCTTTGCGGGAAATTGGTAGCCGTCTTACCTATATGGGTGGCTCGAAGTTGGCCTATGGGTGGGATGTGGAGCAGAGGTAACAGGAAGCATGTTTAGTTTTTGGACTTCTAAGGAATGATTGTGTGGTTCTCACAACTTCGAATACGGGAAGTATGTAGAAACTCTCTCTCTTTCTTGCAGAAGAGCGCTTTTAGCAGCAAAAATGCTTTGCCCTTTTCGTTAACTACTCCCCTGGGGCTATTCAGCTGAAGCATTTTCTATTTTGGATTAATTCATCTGCCAATTTTCAGAGAAGCCCAAGGAGCTGATCTCATCGCTACGAAAAAAATACTGCGAGCTTTGCAACGAGACAAGGATCCAGCTGCGACACAAAACAATACGGGTACGAGTACGGATGATGAGAAATAAATTATTTATACGTGGTTAAGTATTACAATCGAATACATTATTAAGTGCTATTATACAAAAGGTCAAGCTGCTAACATATCACTTTGGGTGTCAAGCTTGAAATAAATGTTGCTATTTAGAACCAACAACTTATTTATAGGTCAATATACTCCTTGTATAGAATATCTTCCTGTTCTTTATAAAGGTTATTTACTGCATTCATCTATAATACAAAGCGATTTCCTTAAGAAACACGTTCACACCAGTTCTTTGTCTTTTTCCATGTAAAAATTCTTTGAACAAATCCGCGAAAAGCTTTTAATGAGGGCAACGAATATATCCTTGTGCGGCCTTTCATCTCAATTTTCGTTAGTTTGCGCGAGATGGTGTTGAATTGCTCCTCCGAGTTTCGCCTTATTCTTCGCAGGCGATCATCGACCACAGCGGCTAAAAGTGTCCTTTTAATTTGTCTAGAGTATAATTAATCATGTTTGTCCTAATTAAACAACAATTGACTCACCAAAGAGGATAATATCAGCGAAGAAGCGAGCTACATCTGTTGTAGCCAAATCACAATTTGTATGAATATTCAACAGTTTCTCTATACGCTCTTGTAAAGAAGAGATCGTAGTTTGCCGAGCGTTTGTCTCCCGTAAGAAGAGAAAGAGACCTTTGAAACGATCACCTAAATTATGTGGTGAGTTTTATCTCCTGGCCCAATATGCAGCTATTAACGGCTACGGCATGGTTTCTCTTAAAACTTCTACTTGTTAGCAGATGCTTTTGTATGGTGTTCGACCATTTGTGGGTGGGTAAAGAAGGACCATTAATTTGCAAGACCGCAGAGGGAAGGAGGGAAAGCTTTCAAGTGAGGGAAGGTGAGCATTCACCGTTTTGCATTCGTTTTTCAGAGTTATTCATTCTTATTCATTCATTCTTTTTTTTTCTTTGTTAAATGCGTAATCTTAATGGTTTTTTATGTGTTGAACCTTCTTTTCTAGTGAATCGCTATCACCAAAGCATGTCGCACTTTATCTAATTGTGCCTTTCGCCATTTTTTTTTCATAGAAGCTAAGTATATGAAGGAGACGCTAGGGGACTAGTGAGGCTCGTGGTTTGCTTTGCATCTGCATGCAGTCATTTCTCTTATTCATGCATTGAAAAATGAGTTATTGATTGTGCGTTAATGGGCATTTGAGAAGGCCTAGGCAATGAGCGATGGCATCGCCTTTCACGACCTTTTCTCTGGACCTTTCTGAGGGATTGGTGCCCTTTGGGAACTATCGTTAGGGTCTGCCAATTGCATGGACGAGTTCGCCCGGGGTCTCTTCTGCGGTTACTCATATTTGGTTAATTTTTTCTCAAGGCGTTTATTTGAAAGCGTAAAGCACTGTAAAGCTTACCGTAATGATATGTAATTGGCTGTTGCGACTGGTTGAGATTCACATACGTTGGATCATCATAAAGACTGAGCGTAGGGTCCAACATTGATATTCTTTTCACTGAAAAATTCCTTTGTAATTAACTATGATTTATTATTGTATTCTAAGCTGTTGTCGATGTTTTAGCAAGGTTTGACGTTGTCATGAATCAGAACGTGATTCTATGTAACGAAGTATTTGTCGTTTTTATTTGTCTATTCATTTGTTTATCCAGTATACTTGGTAAGGTGTGTGCACCTGGATCACTGTGTCAAACAACCACTCCCTAGAGGTTATAGAAAAGAAAAGATAGGGTCAAACGTGGAAAGAAGACGGGTGGGGAAATCCGGAGGTATGAGGAAGGCACTCTGTCCTGCTTTTCAAATAGCGACCGAGTACATCCTTAAGCCAACACTTCCAAATTGTGACCACAGTCAAAATCCGACGGGGGATTTCAATTGGTAGGGGGGGGGGACAGATCGGCTGAGCGGACTGCCTAGCAGAAGTACTGGTATGGCTTTATAGAATTTTTCTCGAATTCTTAAGTCAGTGTCCAAAATAGGTGTGGCGTTGGATGAAGATTATAACTGGGACGAGAGTGGGTGTATTATAAATGATAGCTAAAGAAGTAGGTGTTATATCATATTCAACTCTCTGTACTAACAAATTAAGCTGGAACGTTTAGCGAAGCAAAAGGCGCCGTAAGAGTTTTCTCGAGTACAGAACCTCTATCTGACATTACTTTTCGGGATTCCAACTG